CTAAAAACGCATCTAAAAAACTAAAAATTCATCTTGAGCTGCTCCATTTCTATTTGCATAAGAAGATTTGAAGCTGGAGAGTCTCTTGATTAATTAGAAACCAAACTTTTTCCAAAATTCCCCACAATTCCAGCAATAATGCCTCATAACGGGGCACGGATTTTAAATAAATGTTACCTTCGTTCCTCCCCTCCAAAACATTTGATTTAAGCTCACAGGAGCAAATGATGGATCTGCTGCTCCAAATTAGGATGGCATTTCCTAATGAGATTTCAGTTTTCTTCAAAAGGTTATTTGAAATCACGGCAGGGCTTGAAAAGGGTTGAGAGTGCTCAGAAATTTTGGCTTCTCCTCACGAAGTTGAAAGTGAAAAAGGAGAAAATGAACTCGCTGCGATTTTTAGGGTCAAGCAGCTGTTCCCTGAGTTCTGCTGGGGGACAGAACGTTTCCCACAGTGATTCCCAGGTTGTCCCAGCTAAAGCCCATCCCTGGATGGCAACCAAGGGGCCATGAGCTCCATCACCGAGCCCAGGGATGCTCTTCCAATCTCTGACCCTTGGATGAAAGTGAATCCTTGGATAAAAGATCCAAGAGGTCCAAATCTGGGCTCAGCTTCATTTTTGTGAAGTTACTCAAAACAAGGCACAGGAAATCCCTAAAAACCTGGAACCAGGACTGAAACCAGGACTAAAACCAGGACTAAAACCACCTCCAGCCCTGACTGCAAGAGCAGGAGAGCTTTTTCCAGGAAAAAATTCCTTCTGGTCCAACCCATCCCTGTGAGACAAATTCCTGAGCGCCCTGTCCAGCTCCAGACTTGGAAAAACTGGAACAATGCAGGGGAGGCCACCAAAGTGACTGGAGGCCACCCAGATCCTGAGGGAGCTGGGTTTGGCCGACCTGGAGATGGTTGGATGTTGGGAAAATTCAATTCCTGTCTTCAAATGCCAACCAGGAACTCCTGGAGAAGATGAAGACTAAGGAGAAGCAGAAGAAGCAGATGGAATTTCTGTCTTCAATTTGTTGCCAGGAAGTTCTAGAGAAGATGAAAAACTCTTCCTGGAGGTGCAGAGGAAAGGACCTAAGAGGTCTAAGCTGCACCAAGAGAAATTTCTCTTGGAAATAAGGAAAATAAATTCCCTGTGCAATCAGACAAGTGTCCAGAGGGGCCATGGGATACTTGGAGAAATCCAAAGCTTGGATGGACACATTCCTGAGGAATCTGGCCTGTAAGGTGGCCCTGGTTTGAGCAGGGGGTTGGACAAGAGGTCATTTGAGATGAATGATTCTGAATTGCTCCGTGATTCCAGGAGCTGTGATGTCATCACCGGCTTGTCCAATCCACTTTCTTGGAACAGATCCATGCTGGATCATGGAAACATGGAATGGTTTGGGATGGAAGGGATCTTAAATCCCATCCCACCCCTGCCATGGCAGGGACACCTCCCACTGTCCCAATGTCCAACCTGGCCTTGGGCACTGCCAGGGATCCAGGGGCAGCCACAGC